GTGACTGACCTGCCTTCTTCCTTTCCCCTGAGAACACCTCTGCTGTGTTGGATTCTGGACCTGAGGAGCCAGAGCCTGCCCCTTAGTGGTCCAGAGAATTCATGGCTATGGTGAGCCCTGCAGTCCTCCCTCCCCCTGGATGATCAACTCCAGCTCATGGAACATCTTTCCTATTTGCTGTGGGTGTCCCACAGAGTCTTCAGTGGCCTCTGTAGAATATGAGAGGAAATGCCACTGAACAAGGCAGGCTCACAGAGCCTTGGATGAAGGACAATGGCTGTGAGCAGATTTATCCAGAAACACAACAGAGCCCAAAGAGTCAGAGAGCCTGGGTTCACATCATGGCTCCTCACTTACTAGTTGTGTGTCCTGGGCAAGTGACTCCATCTCTCTGTCTCAGACTTTGCATCTGTGAAATGGGGCAATGATAATACAACTCTCAAGGGTTCTTGGGAGGATTAATCAAATTCATCTCAAAGAATGCCTAGAGTAAACCCTGGCACAGAGTTGGGGCTCAATACAAGTCTGCTGTATTGCTCCTGTGTCTTCTTGCAACTCCTGTTGGGGGTATGGGATCATGCTGGGGAGCCGAGTTGGGGGTGGGATGAGGAGTTGATGGAGGATGAGTACCAGCTTCTCTGATCTCACTCCTGTGGGTGTGTCTGATTCCTGCTCCAGCCCCACTCTGCCGCAGCTGGGTGAATTTAGGAATTTACTCAACTTCACCGTGCCTCTGTAAAGGGAGGCCAAGAATAACAGCACGTACCTCAAAGGGCTGTGTGGAGGATTAAATAAGTGATTACAAGTAAAGCTGCAATCACATGTGAGACTTTGAACCACAACGTCCCCTGAGCCTTCCTGAATTTCTGACTCACAGACATAATGGAACATCAGGAAATGAGTACTGTTTAAGTGACTCAAACTTGGGATGATATTTTATACAGAAATAGTAACTAGAACATATATAGGAGAGGATCCCTGCAGAATATTCTGTGACAGAGAGCAAAGGCAAGACTGAATGTGTGCCATTGTCCATCCCAAGTGAATGAAAATTGCTTCTGGACTCGTTATCTGATGCTTATTGAAAAGAACACATTTTCCAGACCGGTAGCTACACACCAGGGCCTGAAATCAAGTGTTCTAGTAAACCTAGAACCACACACCCTCATACCACAACTATGAGGGTGCTTAGTTAAACTTCTGGTAGTGCATCATCATCTCCATAAACCATCTGGTGTTGCAGATTGAAGAGTTGAAATAGATGGAATAAGCATCCTCCATTCTTTCTTTCCTATCAAATGAAACTAAAACCTGGGACACAGTGACTGAGGGAGCTCTCTGAGGATCCTGAAAAAATAATGGTGGCACGTGGATGGAGAAAGAATGAATGATCCACAGGTGAATTTCCTGGGTTTTTGTCTTTCCCATGTCTTTCAGCCTGGACTCAAAGAGAACATAATTAATAGAACTATGCACAGGTATGAACACAAAGAGCTCCAAAAGAAGTCTTCTCTTTCTGATCCAAAAAGTAGGAATGAAGGATGCCCACGAGTAAAGACAGTGGAAGAAATCTCCTTTGAAAAATACAGCCCACAGAAGGTAGGTTGGAACTTGAATCTAACTGGATTAGCCTGACTCTACCTGAGTCAATTCCATGCTAAAACAAACACCCACCCCCCTCAAAGTTCTCCATAGGCTTAAAAAAGACCCAGAGTCTCGTAATGTAATATTAAAAATGTCTGGTATACAGTCCAAAGTTACTTGAAATATAATTAACAATGAAAGACTGACAAATTCTCATGTGAAAAGACAATCCATAGGTACTAACTCTGAGATGATCTAGATATTGAAATTAATAGATCATGACTTTAAAGCAGCTATTAACACCCTGATGCAAGAATTAAGTACTAACACTTTTGCAAAAAATGGAAAGCTATAAGTCTCAGAAGAGAAATGGAAACTTAAAAAAGAACTAAGTGGGAATTTTATAAGGTAAAAATAAAAATAAATTCCCTGGATAGTCTCAACAACATAATGGAGATGGAAGAGGAAGTGGTCAATTAACTTGAAGATAAGTTGATAGAAGTGATCCAATCTGAATAAGAGGGAGAAAAAAAGGCTGAAAGAAATAAACAGAGCCTAAGAGTCTGTGGGACTATAACAAAAGGTCTACATTCATATCATCAGTGTCCCAAAACGAGAGGAAGAAAAGAGTAGTGCAGAAAATAAATTTGAAGAAATAATGGTAACTACCTCCAAAGAGTCTCACTTTCAGGATGGCAGCACGAGGGGTTCTGGGGGCCCATTCAACAGTGAAACAAACATAACTGGTGAAAACTATAAAAAACCCAGACTTTCAATTTCAGCTTTGACACGTAAAGAGCTTGGAAGCTGTCACTACTATTCTCACAGCAAGAAAAGAACTCAACAAACTTAAAATCAACCACTCTCTCAGGTCCATCAGAGAATTGAGGTCCTAGGGCAAGCTGCCATGCAGAAATCTGGAGAGATAGGTGAACACATACAATTACAGGCAAGATCAGCTTACCTGAAGGTGAGGCTGCTGAAGCCAGTAAGTGAGAGGGGCACTTCAAGGTCATTATGACAAATTGCTGAAAACTGAATGTGGACTAGCTTGAGAGTTAAAAACTCCTGGGGACCCAGTCTTAAGGTCTGTCCACCATTTTCACAAAAAACCTTGGGGAAAAGACTTTTCATACTGACTGGGTGAGCTCTGAGTCTTGTCAAGTAAACACAGCCTTGTGAATAGGGTCTTCCAGGGAACTAACAGGCAGGTCAAACAATGGCAATTCTCTGGGATTAGGGCTTTGAAGTTCTTCAAATCCCCTTCTGCTTTCATCCAGTGGCTGCCAGGCTACTGATTTTCACCAAGAATGTGGGCTTTTGGTTTTCAAGTCTACTGTGGAGCTGGAGAGTGGGAGATGGGACTAGGGTAAGCTAAAATGCCATGAAGGTCATTGTCCTCACCAAGATTCACCAATTTTTATTGAATAAACACCCCTCATATCGCTGCAAGCCTTTGGTTAATTTTGAGAGTTCTGAAAAAACTGGTTCTGACCTTTTTTTCCTTTTAGCCATGTTGCTCACTGCTTTTATGTAAGACAGAATTTCCGAGGTCTTTAATGTGCTATTGTCACCGATATCCTGCTAGAGAGTTTTTAAAATGTGAAAATATTGTCACTATTTAAGAGTCATAAATGTGTTCTCATCAACCTGGCCCCCTGCCAGACTCTTTTGTATCCAGGGGAGTCTTAGACTAGTTAGTTAGGAATTGAAGTTGTTAGGGGAGGGTAAGACCCATCTGTGGGATATAGGAAGAAGCCCAGGGAACAGTGGGAAAGTAGTATCCAGAGGTCGGCAGTGGCTCTGTGTCCAGGCAGGAATGCAGTTTGGTGCCATGGTCAGAGGGCGGCAGGACTGTGCTGACAGTCCAAGGTGTATGTGTCTGTCCTTATCAAATTTGCTTCTAGGGACCTCAGGCAAGATGGCCTCTCAGTCCTGACCTAATACCTGCTGAGAAAGGACATGAAGGTAACTAATCCCTGAATTCTCCCTAAGCCCAATCAATCCTGATTGCTAGTTTCCAGTCTGGACATCTCTTCTCTACTTCAGGTCACTGCTGAGGTGACATTCACAATGATCATTTAGCTGCTTATGGGATTTAACTACTCATCCTCAGTTCAAAGGTCTTATGCTTCTGTGAGCCTGGATGGTGCTTCCTCCTGTACATCCTCGCCAGAAGACACAAGCTGGTTTCCTACGACAAGCCTTCCTTCAGTTCTGAACTATGGAACTGTCTTTCTACAATGCCATGGTGGTTTGGTGGCAACAGTAGGTGGAGAGTGATGTTTCTGGGCATGATGACAGACGTTTGGTAGGGGTTGAAAAACACCCACCTGAATCTGCTGATGCTCATGAGGTCAATGGGGTCTTCTAAAGAGTAAAGGGCACAGTTTTCTGTGAACTCTGGGATGTTTCAGTCCTTGTTTTGCCTTTTTGTCACTGTGACCTTGTGCAAGTCATTCTCATACCCCAAGGCCTCAGTCTCCTCATCTGTGGAGAGAGAGGGATGGGCTGGTCCTCTGAGGACCTGAAACAATGATAGTGTATTTATTTTTTCTTCGAGGGGACAACCTTCCCTAGCCTGAGCAGCCCTGTTCTTCTTCTTTCTTGCATCCAATTTTTCTTGAATCTTATCTGCATTCACAGGCTCAACTTCCTTACATCCCTTCCTCTTCTCAATTCCTTAAAATAAGACTTCTTCTTCCAAAAATATGACTCTCATCCAAGGCATTGATAATCTTTTTATTTATAACTACAGTGACCCTTCTCTATGCCTATCTTTCTCAAGCCTTTAGCAATGAAAACTTTGGACTACTTTGTCCTTCCTCCTACACTTCCTCATTGTCATCTTTATCATCCTCTTGCTGAGAAGAGAAAAGAGTTCATTACAACTCGCTGTTAAATAAGCAAAAGCACAGTATTCAATGACTTGTGTGTCTGTTAGCTTCCTGGATGCTTTCCTCAGGGTCTCCAAGGCAATTACATGCAGAATGGCCACAGCTAAAGGTGTAACCTTTCTGCAGCAATCATTTCATCCTTCTACTTTCCCTGTTACCATTGGCATCCCCAACCTGAGACATGGATAGGAGCCTCACCTGCTCCCTCACCCTTCCAGGTTTACCTCCTGAACATCTCTCAAATCTGGCATTTTCACTTCATCTGTAGTAACCGTGTGTCATCATCTCTACCTGGAATGTTACATCTACCCCCATCCCCCAGTCCACTCTTCCTAAGGACAATGGAGCAGTCGGTCTGAAATCCACACTCATCTGCACACTTAAGTCCTTTAAGATCTCCAGTGTAATGTCCAAACTCTGTTCTATGGCTCAAACCACACAGACCAGGGCTCTTTCTATCCCATGAGCCCTCAAGTGATGGTTAAGAATAACAAGGCTCCCCGTGCAGTGGAAGAGCAATTTATTTGATGAGGAACATGGAGTATAACACATGCCTAGTGAGAAAGGAGGGGGAGCAGTTTCCTCAGAGAGAATGCTGCTCTGGTCTGCAAACAGCAGCCATGTCATTGTCCAGAACATGGGACAGCCTTTTGTGAGCCCTCATAAGCTGGGCGTGGAGTTGGTTGAAGAGCAGGAAACGGTTCTGTTGGGAGAAGACCCAGATCAGAATGGAGACTCAAGGTCACTGACTCTTCTTGGTATTGGCCCATCATCAAACCCATCCTCCAGGGGGAGTCTCATCCTCCAAGGCAGTCTCAGCATCAGAGGGAGGGGAGGAGGCTAAGACCCTCAGGATAGGGGTCTTGTTTCAGCCACAAGGGTAGCCCAGGCCTGGGGTCAGCGTACTCCTTGTGCATATATTGTGCATATATGAATGAGTGTATGTCTGTGTATCCATGTGTAGTTGTGTGTGGCAAGCTGCGAATGTGTGCACATGAGTGTGAGTGTGCTGGTTTGAGAGTGTGCCTCTATATGTCTGTCTGAGTGACCACATGTTTGTCTGGGCATGTGCCTGTGTGTGTCTGTGTGTACCCATGACCGTGTGTGTTTTTGGTTTGTTGCTATGATGCAGTGCTGCCTGTGTCTCTCCATCTCTGTCAGCATTTCTGTGGATGTCTCTGTGCATCTCTGTATGGGTCAATGTGGCTCTTTGTCTCTCTTTTTGGAAGTCACTCTCACAAACTCTCTTCTGCTCCCTACCAGGAGCCAGCTCCAAAATCCTGGGGTTTGGGGAGAAGCACTCACCAGCTCAGCAGAGGCCAGTTCCTTCCTGGAAGGCCTAGACTTTAATGGCAAATTCCAGTCTGTAGACCATCATGTCTGGAAAATGAAAAAAACAACCACCACCACAGACAAGAGTGATGATCTCAGTGTGAAGGAGTCCAGTGATAACTCACATGCTCCTGAGGCCTGAGGCCAGGAAACGGGAACTCTGGAGATCCGCCCAAGCCCACACAGGGTTTGGAGGGGGCCTTGCCTCCTCCAGCAACCAGCCCAGATGTTCCCCATGTCTGGGATGATGGGGGAGACAGGGTCTATACCTCAGCATTATCTGGATAAATCAAAGTATAAAGGAAACTCAAACTGGGGAGAGTTGAGGCTGGAGGGAGCTAGCATCCTATAGTGTGCAGGGACAGAGCTCCTCAGGGGAAAATGCTGCTCCTCCGGAGAGGGAGTGAGGGCTTACCGATCGAAAATGGTCTCCACTATGGGGGTGTCCGAGCAGCTGAGAACCTCTTTAAGCAGAGAGCACACCTGACCCAGGGGCAGAGAGAAGAGTTAGGCAAAGTGACACTTTAGGGGGACCCAGGGAGCAGCAGCATCCCCAGGAAAGATTCTCTGGGGACATTTTCTGTCATTATTCTTATTTGATTCTCAGCAATCCCACATCCACACTGGCAGAAGGAGAAACTGAAGGCTTGTGTGTGAAGTGCCCAATCACAAAGAGCCACTGGTCACTCTGTGACGTGACATCTGTTTCTAATAGGATGGGCTCCTCTAGGAGGGGTGAGATCTGGTTACAGGAGGCACCCAAACATGAGCTGGAAGAGGGCTCATCTGTGCCTTAGAGGGCTGCACTGGGAGTTTCTTGGGGCAGGGACCAGTGCATTTCAGCTGCAGTGTGAACTAGCACAGGGCTTGGTCCAGAGCAGGCACCAACCAATGCATTTTGAAAGATGGAAAAAAGAAACATGCACAGATGGGTGAATGGAGAGATGGACTGATGGAAGGAATTTACTTATTAAGCTGAGGGACTCAGAAAAGCTCACCCTGGGGCCTCTCTCAGTCTGATAAGCTCTAAGAACCAAGGATCAGGAGCCCCCACTTCTACCCACTTACCTTGCTCTGCACCAGCCCAGGAAGGATCTTACTGAGGCTTTTGAAGAGCCTTTGAAAGGGGACAGGGACAAATCTGAAAGGGAAAAGCCATGGGGAGATGCAGAGGCCTGGGGTTGGTATGCAGAAGGCTTTAGAGGGACCACTGTGCCCAAGGCAGTGTCAGCACCAAGTAACTGAGAATGGGCCTTGTCCATCCACACCCGCATGCCAGCAAACACCAAGGGGCCTATCCAAAGGGAGTCACACCCTACACAGCAGTGCACACAGTAGGTGTGTGTAGCATAAACACATAGTTCCAGTACACAGTAGGTGTTCAATGAGACTTTGTAGAATCCATAAATGGAGGAACAGTGCATAGTATGTAGTTGTCATGAGGATTTAACAAGATGATACATGTGAAGCACAGTATACGTGTTCAGTAAGTGTGAGCCATGATGATGATGACTCCTGCATATTACGCAGGACTCAGTCTCTCTTGTGACAGTAACTGAAATCAGTAACCCAGTTATGCTCCAGAGCTATTTTACCCCTCACTGGGACAAAGCACATTCACACCGATTATCTTAGTGCATTCTGTCAACAACCCCGATGTGGCTCCATATTACAGTTATCTGAAGAAGCTGAGACTCAAGTTGGGAAGCACCGGCCAAGTTCACACAGGAAGCCCTCCACCTCTCTCCATGCCCCTCTGGTAGGTGGAACTTGAACTCAGATTTCTTGTTGCCTAATCTAGCATAAAATTGGTCAGTCCAGCCTAACAAGGGTTAAGTGACTATTTACTGATCCATTTACCTTTTCATCTATCCCTCTACTCCCAACTATCCATCTTCCCTTCCTCCTATTCATCTTTTCGCCATTCCCCCCTCCCACTCATCCATTACACCATTGTTCCATCTTTCCAACCATCCACCCATCATCCCATCCTATTGTCTCTGGGCAGGAGAAGTCAATTCTCTGGCCTCACCTGTTAAGCAGGGTGATTTTCAGGCTGTCAGCAGAGTGAGTGCAGCTGTCAAGGACCAGGGGGATATTCTTCTGTTCATCTTGTGCAGTTAAGAGTTCTGCAGTGATGTTTAGCTTCACACCCCCCTTTAACAGACTTCCGACCAGGAGCCTGTGGACGAGACAGTCTGGTACTACATTCCAAGGCAGAGGAGGCTTTTTCTTCTTGCCAGGAATTCCAGCCTCATCTCACTCCATCTAGCCCACACCTGTACTCATCTCGTTTCCCAATAGGTGAAACCAAGTATCCAAGAGGTCAAGTGAGCTTCCCAAGTGACCCAAGGTCACTCAACATAGGAGCAAAAGAGCTGAATTTGGAGGTTCATGTCTCTTAGACTTCAACACTCCCTTTTTGGTTCCCCATGGTCATCAGAGTCTCCTTTGGTGAGTCATCTTCCAACCTCCCTTGGAGCCCACTCACATATTCACATTGAGGATCATGTCCAGAGGGATGGTGACATAGAAACGGCCACCATCAGGACTCTGCACAGTGTCAAGGTCCAGCAGCCGGGGATGAGTGACCTTCACACTACCCAGGGAGAACCATAGGAGACAGAAACATTAGGTCCTCTATCCAAAAATGTAGAAACCACATTTAACCCAAATTTACCCATCCCAGAGGTGGAGCTACCCATGAGATGGAGTCTTGTAGCAAAAGCCAGATGGGTTTTGAGTCACACATCAGTCTTTCCCAACCTCTGCGCTGGGTCAGATCCTGACACACACATGGCCCTCTCCAGATCTCAAGTCTATGAGGTATTGCAGGACAGAGACTGTGTCTGGGTTATGTTGGCATCCTGTATGCCAGCTTAGAGACTTACAAAGAAAGGGGCTACTCCACATTGGTTGACTTTGTGGATTGATGAGCGGATGGCTGGATGGATACGTGGGTGGATAGGTGGAAAAGTAAACAGCTAGATGGAAGGAACGATGGGTGAATGGATGGATGGATGGCTAAGTGGATGAGTGGATGATGTATGGCCAACTGGCGTAAGTCTTTCATAAACATTTATGGTTAGGAATCACTCATCCCACTATGACCTTGAATGGCAGGTTAATCAGCAATGTTTATCATGGAGATTGAGGAGCAGGAAGTCAGGGAGAATGGAGAGAGCCTTTTCTCTGGGCCAGCCACTGCGCCAGGTGATTTATATTCTCTCCAGTCCCCCCAATCTTTGTTCTCTGTGGATACCGTAATCTTCCTTTTAGAGATGGAGAAACCAATCACAGAGAGACTGAGTGTCTTGCCCCAGGTCACCCAGCAAGTACATGGTGAATTTAGAAGTCGAACTCAAGGCTATCTGTTTGTCTTCAAGTCAGGAGCAAGCACTGGGTGGGAAAGAGTCTTGGAAATGGCTTTGATCCAGCCCTCTGAAGGACTCAGCCTTTTCCAGTTTCCTGGCATCAAGCTTTCCATTATTGCTCCTTGCTTGGAGATCTCTCAGGTGTCTCATGGGAAACACTGTATTATATTATTCCATGGACATCACATTGATGATGTAACTGAGGAGAGGAGCTTACACAGTGTTGCTTACTCCAAAGGCCGCCTGTGTTCTAAGGGATTCCATAGGTGAGGGGAACAAAATTATCATGTGTAGTGAAAAAAGCCTTGGGTCTGGACTTAAGTGAATTGGAGTTAGATCCCTGACTTTGCATCACTCTCGTTGTGTGAGCACAAGTGCATTTCTGTGCCTCAATTTTTCCATCTGTAAACTGGGGATTATCAAATCAAACTTGGAGGGTTGTTGGGAGGATTACAGATGATGCTGGGAACTCAGGATATGCTTCTGGACTGGGGATGGTTATTGGTTCAAGAGGGCTGTTATTCCCTACCAGACTGTGAGAATGGTCTCAGACCGAGTCCTGAGCTCATCTTCAGACAACCCCCTCCCTCCTTCCAGGCCACTGCCTGCGGCTGTCTGATCTCCAATGGGGGGTCTCTCTTGGGGAACAAGGCCCTATTTTAGGGCTACTCACTCAATGATGTTCATGAAACGGATCACGGTAGCAATTTTCCCAAGCAGGCCCCCAAACACGGCTTTGGTAGTGACTCCTTCACCCTTCAGGGTGTTCAAGAGTGGAAGCTTTTCGAGACTGCCCAACAGACCCTCAGATAACAAGCCATTGCTGAGAGCTGGAAATGGATATAGGGGTCCTCGCGGGTCAGATTTGACAATTCCAGATCCTTAGCCCCACTCCCTCGCTCATCCCTGCCCCCCTCCCTCCATTGGACAGCTGGACACACAGCTGAAACAGGTTTTCACAGAATCTCACTTACCAATGCTCAAGCTTCCAGCAAAATCTGTGTGACTTAGGGCCGGGGAGGGAGCCACAGTCAAGGGCTGGGTCTGGTTTAGGCTCAAGGGTAGAGTTTCCAGGAGGGCTGTGGTCTGGCCCAGCAGCCCACAGAAGACGATGAGGCCCCCAATCTGAAACATCTTCTATCTTGGTATCTGAGGACAGAATGACTGGTCCAATGTGGCACAGATACCAGAGAGGAATTCATCCATCTGCCCTCACCCCAGCACACCAGGGAGAGAAGAGCAATAGCTAACACTGCACCCCATTTCCTCCGAGCCAGGCCTCAGGCTGAGCACTGCACACTCAGTCACCCATGTCATCCCAACTACACCCTAAGACGTGGGCACTCATCACTCGCATTGCACAGGTGAGGACATGGGGGCCTAGTGAGCTTAGGTAACCTCCCCCAAGGTCACAAGCACACAACGCAGACAGGATTTAAAGTCAGATCTTTTTGACCCAGAAGCCTCTGTTTAAACTAAGTGACCATCAGATTTACTCTCCAATTGGGCTTGCTCACAATGGTTTGAATCAGACAAAGCATTTGAAAAAACTAAACACACCAGTGGCTGAGGGACTGAACTGCTTTGCCATTATCCCCATTAAGTCCTTCGGTCTGGGTCCAGCCCTCAATGGTTTGTGGAAGTCCTTGCAAGTCACAGAATATCAGAGGCCACACTGTCATAGCCACCATCTCATCCAGATGAGTGCTGGGGAAACCCTGGGGCCACGCAAAGACCTCATTGCACAAAGACAACCAGGGGATCAGAGAGGAGTAATGACTTTCCCCAGGTCTCACAGCAAGTTGATGGTAGAGTTGTGGTTGTAGGCAGGTTTCTGAACCCTCCCATCACCCACTTCACACACACACGCACACATACACACACACTCTTTTCTTTACCTTTCTCCTTTCTCTTCTCTCGCAAGCGAACCTGGACAAACATCTGGGGCAAACCCTGACATCTGGCTCCCTTTTACACCATCCTCCCCCAGATACCATCAACCCTCTCAAGGGCCTATCTGGCAGCCAGCAAAGGTGCCCAAAGCTGGGACTGGTACCTACACTTTGGAGACACCTGGCTGCTTTGGGCAAAAGTCCGTCAACTGGCTGATTTCACCAAAGCACCATCCTTGTTGTGGCTGGCTGGGATTGAAAGAGCTGGTTGTGGCTTGCCTGGGGAGGTAAATTTGGATCAGGGCCTCTGAATCACTTTTGGGAAACAGACCTTTTATGGATACAATGAAACCTAAGGAGCATATTTCCAGAAAAATGCGTCAAAATGTACAAAATTGGGTGGATTTTAGGAGGTTTGTGGATCCTGGTGTGAATCCACAATGGCAACCTCAAGTTAAAACTCTTACTTATGGAATGGGCAGGTCTCACCTGGGCTTCTCAGAGGTCCTGGTGGCTGTCCTGGTCTCCTCTCCCCTCCCCTGTTCGCTTCCGCTGAGGAGGCAGCCTCTTTTATAGTGTGGGAATCAGGAAATGTGCGATCGGATGATGGGTTTCTAGATAATTCAGAATTCTGCAGTCTGGTGGTGTCCTTCAGGGCTCTCCAAAGTAAACCATTGCCAATCACATTTTAAGTAGATGTGACAGTTAAGCCATTTGATCAGCAAGATAAACAGACAACAACTTGAGATTGGGACATCGTTCAAGACTTCATGGTTTCATGAGTGGGGCTCAGGCTGGGGACCTACACTCCGAGGTGGCCTGCAAGATCAAATTTAGAACACTAGAAGCAGCCAACTGGAGCCAGGAAGGGACCTCAGGCTCCTATCTAGGCCCTTTTCCATTCCTGGTCCTATTCTTTCTCTCCAAACTGTCCAAGTGCCAAAAAGAGAATCTGCCTCATTTTTTCCTACATCTTGGAATTTGTGAGTCCCTCTTGCATGACAGTTCCATGCTGGGGGAGATACACCCTCACCAGAACTCTGAGAGGGAGGGGCTGCTGGTCCTCCTCCACAAATGAGGAAACTGAGGCCCAGTGGGACAAGTGCCCAAAGACACAGGGAGGATGTGACAGAGTCAGAACTCAACTCACTGGATGATAATAACCATATAAACAGTGTCAACAGCTGACACTTGCTGAGCTCTTGCTGTATGCCAGGCCTGCAACTGACATACATCATCTGACGTACATCACCTCATGAATCCTTGTAACTTTGTGTGAGGTGGGAATGAGGACCCCATTGACAAGGGGAAACTGAGGCTCAGGGTGTGAGTTGATGCATCCACAGTTGCACAGTGGGCATGGGGCCGAGGCATCTACACTCCGGTCCTTTCTCTGAGTCACTGTGCTGAGGGACAAAGACGCCTTCTGAACACTCACTGACCATTGTGCTTTCCTGCATCCTTGAATTTCAAGCTTTCCTGAAATTTCACTTTTATATCCTGGAAAAGTCTTTCCAGCTTCCCAGGCCTGAGGGATGCTGTGCATCCTGGTCTCTATCTTTACCCTTTTTTCCTCCCTTCCCCAAATGAAATAACAGCATTTGTCCCCAGATCTTGGGCCTTTGGAGTCTCTTTTATAGATGAAAGTACTGAGGAATGGAGACATGAAGGTCTTAGAGTGGGGAGAGCATGTCTTGCTCTGCTGAATCTAACACCTTATTAGCAAAAGCAGAGAGAGAAGGAGGAAATGCACATTTATCAAGCACGCTCGGTGTGCCAGGAGCTGTGCATATTTGAACCTCGTCTTGTCAGCAGTGGTTGGTACTGTTTCCCTCAAACGTCAGATAAGGAGACCGAGGTTCAGAGAGGATGATTACCTCACAGGGACACACAGCAAGTGAGTGGTGGATTCAGAATTTGCCCCTGTATCTGACACCCCTGTAATCAGTGGGGCCATGCTGCCCTCCCTCCCTCCAGGCCTTCACTGGAATCGCTCCCACTTCCTGAGAGAGTCTGGTCAATGACTCTGAGGCACCAGGACTGTGGCTTTGAACTCGATTATCCATTGAAGCACTTGATAGAGTCATCCCACAGCAGGTATGTTGTCAGTCATCCTCAAAGGGGGCCCATTTTCTGTTATCTTGGTGCAACTCTCATGGGTGGGGTCAAGTTGCTACTGTCTTATGGGGAAACAGAGGCAGATAAGTCAGGGGACTGATTAAGTCTGTGCGGCCAATTACTGGGCTCTTACAGCCTCTGGTTTGAAGCCAGGAGGCTGCTTCTGTTATTCTGGCAGAAAGGGGATGGATTTGGGCACAGATGGCCCTGCTTCAAATACTGTCAAGTCAAGTCACTCCAATCCTTGAGCTCCAGTTTCTGCATCTGTGAAAGGGGAGGGCGACATCTACCTCACAGGGCTGTGGGGGATAACGTCGGGGAAGCAGGCGGGAATCCTGTCCATAAACTCACGATCTAGACATTTTTCTTTCTAATGTATCTACAGTTTTGTTACCATATCAAAGGCCATTTTGCAGGGTAACAGAAACTTCCCCATTTCCCCCTGGGGTTTTATTTCTGTTCTAGAGGCTTCATTTGTGCCGAGGCATCTGAAGGAGGCTGCCCTGTCCCTGTTCTGACTAGAAATAAGAGACATCCACATCCCATCTGATCCCTGATGGGGGAGACCCTGTGCTTCCCTCCTGTCCAGACGCCCCTTAGATTTAGCATTTACTTCTCACTCCCTTGTTAGACAACCCGAGTTTCTGCTGTTTCTTGATTTGTTGGGCAGGACCAGGGGGAGTCAGCCCAGCCCATCTGCCCGGTTACATCTAGACCCTCCAGTTACCCTTCTCTCCCTGGGGTCTCGTCATCTCTCTCAGCTCTGGAGGGGAACAGGGGCAGAGACGCTCTTTTTTCTTGAATCCATTGACTTAGGTTTTCTGTGTCTCTCCTCCCATGCCAGGTTTTGCCTGGGGAGCCACAAGGGCATGAGACACTTTCCAGAACCCACCAGAACTATGTTCTCTTCGTTTCTCTTGGATCCTCACACTCCACCAACCCAACATGGGGAGTTGTCTAGTCTTGGGGACAGGAAACCTTGCTCCAGTTCACTGTAAGTGTGCTATTCTTGGTGTTGCCTATGCTCTGAGATTTGAAATTGAAAAACTCAGACTTAGAAAAACTTAAAACAAATTAACCTACGTAAAACTAGCTTTTTCTCTTGGTGCACATTTCTGTGAATATTAACTCTTGTGTGGGTTTACGTAGCTGCCATAATGATCAGGATATAGAACAGCTCCATCACCCCCAAAACCCCTTCTTCCCGCTCTTTTATAGTCACACCCTCCCCCACTCACTGATCTGCTCTCTGTCACTACCATTTGTCAAAGACCCGGGCTGTGGAAACGCAAAAGCTTTCTCTCTGCTTCTGCCAAAGTTGCCCTTCCTTGAAGCCACAGGGCTGCATGTTCCACTGCCCCAAGCAGGGCAGGAGTCGTGGGGCGTGAGGAAACGTGGAAGGACACGCCGCTCACATTTGGAGACAGTGTTTTCCACGTTGGTGACGTCAATGCCTTCCCTATGTGTTCCTCACAAACTGCAGGGGGTGCCTTTTGCTTCCCCCATATCACAGTGTGGCTGTGGTTGACAGCCTTTACTGGTATCATTTTTGTGAATCAAGGGATCCATTTTTAAAGGGCAGAGCTAATTTTATTTTTCAAGCGGCTCTGACTTATGCAAGGTCTGTTCTCTAGAAGTTGCGAGTGAGATCCTGGTTCTGTTTCCTGGGAGCAAGGTCAGGTAAGGCGCTGAGTTTGAGGGGGGTCTTCAAACGGCTTTAGAAACCCCAGTGGTTTTGTTGAGGGGCAGAGGGAAAAAGGATTCACAGAGAGCCTGGTGCTCCAATTTTGGTGAGAAAATAAATTTTCTTAAGCAGAGTTTGCTTAAGTCAAGTTCGACTTGCCTTGGAGATTAATCTTCCTACCTATATTTACAGCTAATAATTATAATAGCTTTCTATGAGACACTAGCACTTTATCCCATCTCTAAGAACCCTGTGGGTGCACTGAGGCTCAGGGAGGACAGTGACCTGACCCAGGTCACCTCAGAGGGAAGAGGTGATGTCAGACTGTCCTTAGGGCTGTCTGGCTTTGGTGTTCTTAACTTCAGGAGCAAGTTTGCATCTCAGAGTCTTCAGTTCAGAATGTGCCTGCTCGTGTTATCTGGAGCCTCCCCACACAAGAAATCAGGCAGCTGGGGTCCCAAGTCCAGCTCAGCTGATAACTCTGGGCACAAGTCTTCTGCTCTTCGAGCCTCAGTTTCCTCATCTATCATGTGGAGCTGATGGCATCCATGTCCCAGGGCTGGGAGAGGTTACATGGGGCTACATGCAGCACGTAGCCCAATCCCTGGCAGAGTTAGAGCTCTGCAGTAGAAGGGCCTGGAAGTTACAGGCACAGACAGGGAGGACTGGAGTAAGCTTCTGACCACTCATGGATGAATTTCTGCTTAAATTACCTCCCACACAAGACCCAGTATCATAATAGAGGTCCATTGTGCAACCAGCTCTTTCTGGAGAAAACACGTTGAGTTCACGGCTCCATGAACCTTAAAATGAAAGCAAACAGAATGGGAGAAACCCAAGGAGGCCCCTTGAAGAAGGAGACCCCCAATCTGCCCAGGATGGGTCAGGAGGAAGGCAGACAAAAGCAGCCTTCACTGAGGCACCAGACAAGCTCGCTGGAGGATGGGGCCCACCCTCCCATGTTTGCTCTTTGAATCACGAGCAGGAAAATCCCCACAAACTCAATGCTGTCAAGGGGAAGCATCTGCGTGAACACGGGCATTTAGGGTTGCAAACCCCAGCGAAGCATTTCAGATTAGAGAGTCCGAATTGAAAGATGGAGACATGGGGCTCTTTTGCTGTATTTTCATCTCGAGCTCTGGACACTTCCTTCCCTGAGCTTGTCAATCCAGCTGAGCACGTATTTCATCGTTTCCCCTCAGTGTGTGGGGAGGGTGTCAGAAGGAAGGGAGGGAAGGCCATAGGGGACATTTACAGAGGTCAGGAGTGCAGGCTTTAGAGTCTGGCTGCCTGAGTGCAGTCAACTTGGTCTTTCCTGGCTGTGTGACCTTGGGCAAGGGACTTTCTCTCTCTGAGCCCCAGTGTCCTTACGCATAAAATAGGGCAGGTCCAGATTCCGGGCACGGACCTATAGCACCCCTCAAGCCATGGTGTGTCAGTGACCCACCTACAGAACAGAGGAAGATTGGCACAGATGTCAGCTCATGGACAATCTTCCTCAAGCACAAAAAGAGGAAGATTGGCAACAGATGGTGGCTTAGGGTGAATCTTCTACACCAAAAAAAAAAAAATCGTTAAACTACAAAATACATAATAAAAATGCACATAACTGAACAGCACAATGAATTTTCATAAGCTGAACATCTTCCCCACAACCAGTACCCAGATCAAGAAACAGAATATGAGCAGTTCTCCAGAAGGCCCTCGCACCCCTCCCAGGCACTAACCCTCTCCCAGGGGTCATCACTGTCTTGACCTCTGACGGCGTGTATTAGTTCTGCTGTTTTTGAACTTCGTATAAATGGGAGCTGCAACATGTGCTCCTTTGCGGGGCTTTATGATGTTCATGAGATCCGTCATGTGGTCGTGTGTGGCTGGAGGTCATTTTCATCACTGTAGAGCATTCTGCTGGCTGACTAGCCCACAGGATGTTTGGCCACGCTCTTTAGCCATTCTTTTGATGGGCATTTAGGGAGTTTTTACTCTGCTGCTGGGAGCACTCTTGTACACGTCTTGTGGTGCCTATGTGCACAGATTTCTGCTGACCGCACAGCTGGGAGGAACTGCTTGGTCAGAGAGCAGCCGTACATTGGGCTTTAGTGGATCTGCCCCCTGGTTTGATAAAGTGGTCGTACGACTCACCTCCCACCCGCAGTGTGAGAGCCCCTGTTGCTCCACATCCTGTGAGATTTCTGTTCCCACTTTGCAGGTGAGGAAGAGCAAAAGGGAAAGTGCCTTGTCCCAAACCTAGCTAGTGAGTCATAGGACCAGCATTCACCCATCATTTAAGCTCAGACATTTGCTGAGCTCATATGCTATGCCAGCCTTGCACTGGGGCAGGGGGGCGGGGGGTCACTGGTCTCTGTGATGCGCGTGGTCCATACCCTCATGGAACCGCTCTTTGGGCTGGGTTGAATTTGAACTCAGATCTGTTCGGTGCCAATGTTTATGCTTTTCCTCTCCATCACCTTTTCTCTACGCTCCCTTGGAGCCCAGCAAAGTGCTTGACGTGTAGGAGGTGCTCAATAAGTGTAGGTGGACTGAATGAGGGAACAGGAAATCTCCACAGGGCCTCCCCTGCATTGATGAGCAAACCCATAGATGGGCTTCTGGCTGCAAATCACAGGAAAAGAAAGAGTGTGTTCTTGGATATTTCTGGGCTGATGAGCAAACCCAGGTATATTTAGTCTCAAGATGGACCTTCATCAAGTCTGACTTTTGGAACCTAAACCTCAGGGCCCAGGCCGGGGGACCTCTGCACCTTCATAACTAGAATTTATTATGGGTGAGGACAGGATGTCCACAGGGTCTGTGGTAAAGGTTTTTGGGGCAGTGGAAGCCCCACTCTAAGGAAGGCGTAAGGTCCCAAGGTGTGGAATCTCCTTCTGATCATCAGTGCATCGCTGGAGGACACTAAGTCTGGTGTGTGTGTGTGTGGGGGGGGGGGGGGTTGGCTGATTCACAGTTGGTTGAGTTCCTGAGCAGCAGCCTGTTCTATAAGAAGAAGAGGCGGTGTCAGTCAGCTGCATGTCTGTCCCTCCAAATCCCACGTCCACACTGACGGGGACCCTCATCCACCCATGCCGACCAAGGGCCAGTGCCAGGAGCATTTGTGTTAGAACTCTTTCCAAGTGATAGCTAGTGATGCGCTCCTTGCTGTCTTCCATTCTAGAGACTGTGAGCGCCGTGAGGGCGGGGACCGTATCTGTTTATCTGCAACTCAAGGGGCATGGTCTCAGTCTGGGGTGGGGCCAGTGCTCCCTAAAGGATTGAGTGGAAATCTTGGGAGAAGCCACAAGCTCTGGTGAGAGGTAGGTGTGAGTGACTTGGTGGGACACAGCCGGCTTGGTAGGGATCCCCTCTGCTGTCCCAGCTTTCTCACAGGACAGTAATGGTCATCATGATATGGTCACCTCTAAGAGATCTCAGAGCACATGCAGACCCCCCTGAGCAGGCCTCGCTGGGAGCTCCGTGGGGGCACCTCCTCCAGCCATCTTCCAGTCCTGAGTCCGCCTCCCTGGATGGACACAGACTCACCCATGAGGCTTTTCAACAGTTTCACATCCAGCTGCCTGAGGACTTCACCGGTCAGAGGACACACCTGGGCCAGCAGCACAGACAGAAGGGTCAGACCAGAGACCGGGAAAAGAAGGCTAGAGGCCTGTGGCTAGAAGCTTAGACTCCACTGGATTTCCACAAGCAATCATGGCAAGAGTGCTCCCTTGTATTGATCGCCAACCACATTCCATGCGTGTCTCTCTGAATCCCTGTGACAACTCCATGAGCTGTGGACCATAATGTTTCCCATGCTACAGATGGGGAACCCTAGACTCAGTGAGGCTAAGTCACTTGCCCAAGGACACACAGCCAGTAGATGGAAAAACTGAAATTTTTAGTGGAGATCTTTCAGGTTCTAAAACCCAGGGTTTGAAACTCTTTGCTGGGCTGCCATTACATATGCCCCGACCCTCAGACTCAAGGATGCCCAAGGCAAAAATATTTTTCTCAGGCTTACCTGACTTTCTACCAGGTGTAGGATAACTTTTTCCACGTTGTCTCTGAGATCGTGGAGTAAATGTTTCATCTTTGGTGGGCAATCTCTAGAAAGAGAGGCAGACGTACGGAATAGTCAGATAAACACAGGCAATATAAATGCCAGGTGCTAAGTGTTGAGTACACCTCACACAGTCGTTGAATCCTCTGCCAGCCCTGTCCAGGAGGCATCACAGTCAGCAACAGTCAAAGGGGCAACTCAGAGGGATGATGTGACTTGTCTAAGGTCACATGGCTCCTAAGTGCTGATTAGACCAGAACCAGGTGAGCAGAGCTCCAGGGTCCACAGTCTGCCCCCTGCACTGTCCTGTCCATGAGCATCTGGCATGATCTAGGCATTCAGTGAAAGTCAGATGAATAAATGAATGGACGTCCACCTAAGACTTCGTTGCTTCCAGCATCCTGGAATTCCAGAGAGAAACCTGATGCAAAGCTTGCCCTTGAGGGACTCAGTGTGTTGAGGTTGGCAGACTTGGTCAGCGAGGGTATGGATCTTTATTTACCTGTTTTTTCTGTCTTGTTCACTACTGTATCCCTAGCATCAAGCACACTATGCCTGGCACACAGTAGGCTCTCAGTAAATATTTGTTGAATGAATGAGAGATGAGGAGGAGCTTTAGAGAAGAAGGGAAGGGTATTCCAGGCAAAGGATCAGCACGTGCAAAGGCACAGTGGTGTGCAAATACATGGCGTGGTGAAGGAGAGGTGGCCCCTTCTGAGACATTAGAGGGCAGAGGCCTGCAGAGTAGGGCAGGGGAGAGGACCGTAGGGCCTTGAGTGACATCCATCAGTTTGCCATTCATCCAGAGGGCTCTGGAGAACCACTGGAGGGTTTGGAGCAGGAGCTGAGGACAGGAGCAGTTTTTTGTGCTAGAAAGTTACTTCTGCTGCAGGGAGAGAATGGACCGTAGGTGGTGAGGTCTGAGTTGGGGGAAGTCAGAGGACACTCCTGCAAAGACCCAGGTCGTGGACTATGAGCCGGGGGCAGTGGCTGTGGGATGGAGAGAAGGGGAGCAAGTGGGGGCGGCCAGGAGGTCATTGATGGGAGCGGGTGAAGAGGGGCTGTGGGGAGTGAGGAGGGAGAGTCCGGCTTCTGGGAGGTGGCAGGGCCGACACTGAGGTGGGGACGTGGGAGGAGAGCAGATCCTGGGGAAAGGGTGAGATCCGTTTGGGGCTCATCCGGGAGGTGGTGGAGCTGTGTGGCCGCAGCTAGGAATGGTCACCCTGGGGAGGGGCAGCTGGGACCTTACGGAGTCAGGACTGTTGTGTGGACGCTGCCGGGCTCCACGCCGCAATCGCCTATCACCAGATCCCTCCGGCCAAACTCGTCTTTCTCCAGCCAGAACTCCACAACGAGGTTCGTGTGCACATGCGCCTTTATGATCTTGTCGTTGAAGGGCCTGGGGACAAGAGAGAGGAGGAGGGGAAAGGGCAGGAGACGGAGGAAGAGCAGGGGTGGAAGCAGCTGAGGAGAAGAGTGGCTCTTTAGACAAAAGGACAAACCGGCCCCTTGGGCTCCTCCTGGCCTGCATGTTGAATCCTGCAGTCGGTGATTATGAGAAAACTGCTATGAGCCAGAGCGGCTTCTGAAAGTCCTTTAAATAGACCAGATTAGGGGCCTTTGGAAATTCAGAAGCTGAGAGTTAATCTTATTTTTAAAATCCTCACCGCTTAGCTGCAGCCCTTTCCTTGGGGGCTGTGGATGTTAGAGAGTGGTTTGAACAGAAGGAAGGAAGGGTGATGAGATATTCAGAGTTTCCCTCTTTTTTTTAAGTCAGTGTAGTGAACTCACGTAGGTTTAAATGAACAAATGACCTGCTTCCAGTGACTAATAAGGGCCATCCACACATTAGCTGAAGAGACCAAGGAACAGAGACGTGCAGTGACTTGCCCAAGATCAAACAGCCAGTGAGTTCAGATTCCAGGATTTGAAATTGGGTTGGAATAAGAAAATATCTGGGTCCCCAGGTTGCCAAATTCCCCTCCCCCGCAGCTGCCAGGTTCCCATTAGGAGGAACAGCGCCCCTCAGACCCCACTTCTGTGTGACGCACAGTCTCAGGTCAGTGTCAAATGCAAGGGAGGTGTTTGCGGAGAACCACTCCTTCTGGAAAGACATCTGGATCTCGCCACAGTCCAGCTGAAGGTTGGTGATGTTGGCGCTGCACAAGGAGAGAGCAGAGGCCCCGCAAGAGGGAGGGACCAAGACGTCAAGACCTCGGGCTGAGAAACAAGCCTGGCCCATCTGTAGAAAGGGCCTGGCAGTGGGATTTGGAGTCAGATCCTTTACAGCTTCTCTGAGGGCAGGAGCCCCGGGCTGCACGTTGTCCCAGGGTCTCCTGACAGATACAGCTGATCTGTGTGACCCACAGCCAACTGCAGACCCAGACCCTGGGCCTGTTCTCAGACCAAGCCTCCCCTCTCACGAGATGGCCCCAGCATCACCCTCGTGCGCAGGCCCACAACCCAGGAGCTGTCTGTGACTTCTGTCCAGCCCTCATCTCCACATGCAGCCCATTAGGGAATCAAGTTGTCTCTGCCTGCAAAATATATCCTGAACTTGGCCATTTCCCATCACCTCTGTCACTTTCACCTGGTCCAGGTCGCCATCACTTCTTCCCTGGAGATGCTCTAGTCTTGGGTTCCTTGCCACGAACTTGGCCTCTCTACAAGCTCTTCTCCATATGGAAGCCAGAGGGGCTCTAACACTTCCTGTCACTCAACATTCTCCACTGGTTTCTCACTGCTCTTGGAATAAAATCCCAACTCCACACCATGGCCCCTAAGACCTACAGGTCTGGGCCCACCTGCCTCTATGACCCTATCTCCTATCATCCTCCCCATTCTCACCTAGCCACACAGGAGTTTTTCTCTTCCTCTAACACACCAGTCTCTTCCCTGCCTCAGGGCCTTTGCACTCCCCATTCCTCATGTCCTTCATGGTACTCCATTCCTTCTCTTTATTCAAGTTTCTGTTTAAGGGTTGCCTCTTTATAAAGGCCTTCCTGATAGCCCCTCACGCTCTCACCCCTCACCTTGCTAAATTTGTCTTGGATACATCCCTCCATCTGAAGTTACTTATTTACTTTCATGGTCTATATCACCAACTAGGATGTGAGGCCCAAAACGGCAGTGACCGTATGTCTTGTTTATAGCTATATTCCTAAGACCCAGCCCAGGTCCTGGTATGCAGCAGGTGCTCAATAAATAATTGTAACAACTATTAAAGGAATGAATGAGGCGAGGTGATTGTGACTGCACACATCAAGGAAAACTCTGCTGGTGAGCACGGGTGCTCATGAAATGGAGAGAGTGAGGGGTTCGAATCAGAGAGATGGGAGCTCAAGCCTGGAGATGCAGTTGAGCAGCTTGGAGAGTGGGAAGCTGAGGGAAAGAGGAGGTGAGCAGGACAGGGCCAGTTCTGCATAGTTAATGGAGTAACCAGTGGCTGTGCATCCACCTTGTGCAGCAGAGAAAGCTCCCAACCCCTCCTGTGGGCGGGGACAGTTCTCATGCCCATTTCACTGATGAGGACCAGAGGCCCAAGCTCAGGTTGCTCAAATGCCTTGCCCAGAGTCCCACAGCTGTCAAGCAAGACAGTGGAGTCGGATGTCTGACTCTAGTCCTGTGGTCCTTTGGCTCCCCAGATGTTTATCAGGCTGTGCTCTCTGGGTTCCCATGTTACAGATGAGGCCAGAGTGGTCCAGCAAGCTCCCCAAAGCTGGTGGCAGAGCCAGGATTAAAATGCAGAACATTTTACTCCCAAGCCCTCACTTTCAATTACCCTGATAGGCCACCTCCCCAAATGACCACTTGTATTGGGCCCCCTACTCATCTTGTGTTGGGACTTACACCTCCTTCTTCTAATCTTTCTTTGCCTTCCTTCTTCACAGACCTTGCCCCTCCATCCCCTTGGCTCTGCCCTCTGACCTAGAGCTTTACAAAGAGTCCCTGTGCCAAAGGTTGAGTTCAGGGTCTCGTCTGCCTTCTTGATGATGCTGGAGGTTCATGCTGCCAGTTAGCCAGCCCACCATCCCTGGGCCATCTGGCCCAAGGCATTCAGACTACCCAGCAGGTGGGTGTTCTGGATTTGCCCTTCTGAGTTGTGCTTCATGAAGCCCTGGGCAATAACTGGAATTGGACAAGGGACCAGTGACATGACACAATGTCATGGAAAAGGTGGGGAGTTTGGAGCCAGGAGGCCTAGGCTGCATGGTGGTGCACCCACTTCATGCTGAGTGCTTGGTGCCTGTCATCCTCTTTGCCCTCAACCCTGAGACCCACATTATTCATTTGCGAAATTGTGCTTTGCAGATTTGATGTGACATACCTGCACTGGTTCTGGCATTCAATAGCTGCTTAAGGGAGATATAAGGGTTGAAAGTTCCCCCAGTGCTGTATCCCTGAATCTGGGAAACACAGCCTAACACTGAGGATGCAGATCATGATAAATGTTGGAGAGAAAAATAGGTGGGCAACCACTCAGCTGAAATTCTGAGAAAACTGACAAAGGCATTGCAGACCAGAGGCCTACAGCAATTGTAAGCCCCTGAGCCTAGCAACCAGCCACGCTAGGGGCATACGTATTTAAGAGAAAAACTGCAAAAGGAATGTGCTATTAGACCTTGCAACCAACTGTGCTGGGGCTCCACACGCCCAGTAAAGATTTGAAGGGTCCATAGCAGCCACATGCAGCTGAGCGTTACAACCAGACAGCCAGGGGGACAACCTAGCCTCCCTGGGCACCTGCAGCAATAGCAACCCTGCCACAACAGAAGGACACATGCAGCCCATGCAGGGGACGCCCCTGGAACATATTAACTGGTGATGAGAGGGAAGCACACTGCTGGGCCTCATAAGGTATCTCTTACATAAGGCCCCCTCTGAAACATCTAGAGATGTAGCTGTCCTACCTAATACATAGATAAAAGCACAGAGAAATAAGCAAAATGAGGAGACAAAGGAATATTTTCCAAGTAAGGGAACAGGACAAAACCCCAGAAAAAAACTAAGCAAAACACAAATAAACAATCTACCTGACAAAGTGTTCAAACAAAAAGTCATAAGGGTGCTCACTGACTTTGGGGGAAGATTGGATGAACTCACTGAGAACTTCAACAAAGAATTGGAAAATATAAAAAAGAACTTATCAGATAAAGAATACAATATTGGAAATGAAAAAGTCACTAGAGGGACTCAATAGCAGAGTAGATGATACAGAAGAACAGAGCAGTGAGCTGGACAACAGAGTGGAGGAAATCACCCAAGCTGAACAGATGAAAGAACAAAGAACTAAAAAGAATGAGAACAGTGTAAGGGAACTCTGGGACAACATCAAGCACACTAACAGTTATATTATAGGTATCCCAGAAGGAGAAGAGAGAGTCAAAGGGGCAGAGAATATATCTGAGGAAATAATAGCTGTAAACTTTCCTAACCTAAGGAAGGAAACAGACATTTAGGTACAGGAAGCACAGAGAGCACCAACAAGATAACCCTAGGGGGACCCACACCAAGACCCATTACAATTAAAATGTCAAGAATTAAAGATAAAGAAAGAATCCCAAAAGCTGCAAAGGAAGGCCACCTGGTCTGGGATATCTTGTTTTGGCAGCCTGGGTAGACTGATAAAGATTGATATTCCCCACTGTTGAGAAACACAGAGAGACAAGTATGCTTATTAGTGGAGTGAGTGTAGACCGGCACAGCCACTCCAGAGAGCGACCTGGCAGTCTTCAGTTAAATTGAGTTAGCACCTGCCCAAGCGCCCAGCCATCCCCTTTCTGGGTGTATCCCAGAGAAATTCTCCCACAGATCCTAACAGGGACCCGTGCCAGGATGTTCATCTCAGTGTAGTTTGTAATAGTGGGGAATCAGAGACAACTCAAGAGTCTATCTCAAGGGGAACGGCCAAGTGGTGGTGAAATGGAGGAATCTCATGGACTTCTCTGCACCAGTGTGAAGCCGCAGACGTCAACCGCACGGTGTCCAGTGAAAACAGTAAAAAATAATGAAATATATATGGCAATACAATTTATGTAAATCAAAACACTGCATGTTTCATTTTCATAAGGATGTGGGCATACTTAAAGACATATATTAAACACGGTGTGGTGCGTGTCAGGAGAGAGGAGAATGGGAGTGAGGACAAGAGAGAAGGTGGAAAATACAATAAAGCAAAACATACGAGGGCCCTTGTGATCCATGACAATGATGATGTGCTATGAATTGGCATATGATCAGCTCAACCTCAGTTTTCTGTACTCGAGGTGAGGTCTAAGGAAAAAAAGAAAAAAGGAGGGGGAGTGACTGACCTAATGTTACCCAGCAAGTCAGTGGTGGGCCCAGACGATGTTTCCCCTCCTACCCTGTGACGGGGGTAGAGTGCGGGCTCAGCTTACTTCTCACCAGGGCTGCTCGTGCAGGGCCGAGGGCAAGGCCAGCAAGCTGAGGAGGACCAGGAGCCTCCAGAGTGGATGCATCTTCAGTTCTGGGACCTGCAGGTGTCAAGAAGGGTCAGATGCTACCCAGACTGATGGCGGTGGGGGTGGCCACCCGGAGGGATGGACTCATGGTTTTCTGTGGGGAGATGACACCAGAGTCAGCCCCCAGCATGCTGTGGAGAGGTGTTGTGATGGGCTCTGGCAGCTGCCCCCAGGGAGACAGAGAACCTTGAAGCCAAAGCATTGGGTTTACCTCATTGCTCTGGGATTGCGTGTCAGAGAGAATTCAGTGCAAATACCCCTGTCCTCACCATCTCAAGAAATGGCACTACAATCCATCTAGTTGCCCTAGCCCCAGCCCTGGAGTCCCCCTGACTCCTCTTCCCTCATCTCTCATGACCACCTCTCAGGAAACCCTATCAACACTTCCAGACTGTGACCACGCCTAGTGAGTCCTCCTCAGCCACAGTCTTGGCCTGAAATATTGCAGGGGTGTCCTACCTGGTTCTTCCCCGGGGTTTGGTCCTACACAGCTTTTCCCCTTGTTCACCTACAACCTCTTTCGAACTAAGAAGCCTGAGGAATCTTTTTAAGACACATTCAGACCATACACTCCTCTGCTCAAAACCCTCCATAGTTTCCCATCCCACACGAAGCAAAAGCCAGACTCTGTGCGATGCCTGCCATGCCCTGCAGGGTCCTCTGGTCTTCCCTCTGACCTCACCTCCTACCACTCCATCCCTCCTCGCTCCCCTGCAGCCACACAGGCCTGGGGGTGGGGGGTGTCTGGGCCACACAGTTTAGCTGCTGTGAGCTCTGAGACAAGGGCACTTGCCATTGTCTGCACTCTCCCTCCAGCTGTGGGCAAGTGGGTCCTTCGCAAATTTCACAGAAGCACTAGGGCCGCTGTGGCCACTTCACTCTGGTTTCCTAAGAGATTCTACTGAAAGCATTAGTTCCAGGTGACTCTCTCGGGGTTCATGCTCCCCTTGGGGCTGTTTGTAGAATATCAATTACTTTGGTATGTACGTTTCTAGTCTTCTTGGACTTGTGTAACCAGTTGTGATTCTGTTACTTTTTGTCAAGAAAATTGGAGAAGAGTGGGCACCGTTGGGAGGAGCAAACTTATTGTCCTTGACTGTTTGTTGGTCTGAACTTGGGGGTGTGGGGTGTTGTCAGTCATGTCCCACCACAGGTCATGGGTCTCAGGGCCACCGATTCTAAAGAAATGACAACATGGAGGGTGCAGACGTTCCGAGCCTGGTGCACGACAAGGGAGCTGGCACTGCTCAGGGGAGAGCCCAGGATTTGGAGCCAGCTTGAAACATAACCACATTTGGTTAAGAGTGTGTACTTCTGAGTCACACAGACCAGGGTGCATCCCGGCTCTCCCTCTTGGCAGACTCAGTTTCAAGTTCTGTAAAAGGAGGGTGATCACAGGCCTAGTCCTCTGGACAATAATATACACTCTGCATCCCAAGGCCCAGTCCATATTTCCTTCTCCAGGCAGCCTTCCCTGACTGCCCCCAGCCCCTTGGCCTCTTTCCCGTCTGTGCTCTTGCAGCATTGACTGCCAAGGCCTGATTCTCCCCTGCCTTGGGAAACTCTGCCTTATGCCATAAAGCTTGAGATGGCACTGGAGTGAGAATTCGAGCTCATCTCCTCACCAACTGTGTGGTCCTGGGCAAGCTCCTTCCCTTCCCTGAGCCTCCGTTTCCTCCTTTGCAGTGAGGGGTGTGTCTCCCGGGGCTGCAGTGAGGATTAGAGGGGATGTTGCTATGGTTGCTGTCATCCTCATCCTCATGCTCACCTCTCTGAGCCTCAGCTTTCTCACCTGTAAACCAGGGAGGCTGGCAGAGTGAATGCCAAGTACAAAGGACCCAGACAGGGTGCCTGGGACAGTGCACAGCATGTCAAGGAGCCACCTCTCTCGAGCATGTTTGCATATGAGAGCACGGCTGTTTTGGTAACTCCAGCAGGCAGGAATCACACTTGGGGCTGAATGGCAGCTGAGGCCGTGATGGTCCCGAGCCTGGAGGGAACTCGTAGACATTGGATCAGATGATGGGCTTTGCTCTCGTTCATTCAACAAACAAATAAAGCTGCTGAAGTCATGGAGTGCTGACTAAGTGCCAAGCACCATGGGCCCTTTGGATCTAAGGGACAGCAGCCAGGCAGGTTTCCCATCCTCAGGGAGCTCACACTCCCATGGGAGACTGATGGTCTTCAACTATCCCTGCCATGGGCATAGAATTGCACAGTGTGGCCCTGGCCATGAACGGGAGGTGGGGGTGCCAGGTAAGGGCACAGAGAAGGGAGCCCTGGCCAATGGGGAGAGGTCATCAGAGAAAAGATCTCCCTGGGGAGGTGGAGTTAGGGCTGACATTTAAGGGAAAGGCTACAAGGGAGCTGGACATCCATCCTCGCACTCCTCCTGCTGGTGCTTCCACAGAGGGTGCTGGAGGAATGGGGGATGCTCCTCCATAAGCAGCCACCTACAAGGATGGTGGGGCTGACATTTATTTGGGGGTCTAATTCATGGTGCTTATCCTGCTCTGGGCATGATCTCCTTCAGCACTTGTGCCACACATGAGGGGACAGGAACCCAGATGAACCCAGTGGCTGGCCTGCAGCGTCCTCACCAGGATGAGGCTGAGCTTTCCTCCCAGTGGGCTCTCCTGCCCTCCCCAGAGTGGGGAGTTGCAGCTTCCTTTGGAAGGTGGAGCAGCTGCAGGCACCAAACCTCATCCTTTCGCAACCTCCTTTACTAGTTCAGATAACTTTCCTTAGAACAAGCTTCTCTACCTTTTGGGGAGCATTTTGAAAATGTGATGAGAAATTTGGTTTGTCTGTTCAGAAAGAAAAAAAAAAGTACCTGGTTAAGTAATGTTGCTCACAGTAGCAGGATTCAAATAGTCCTCCTAAGGTGTGCTCTCCTGGGTAATTGCTTTCAAGCGGTTTGACTTGCATAAAAATATATTTATCCGTGCAATCATTATTTACTGTGGGCCTACTATGTGTCAGGCACTGCACTTGGCTCCAGGCAATAAGAGACCCCTGCTTCTCCAGCAGCTTATCATCTGTTGAGAGAATCAGAACAAGATGAAATAAACAATACATGAAATAATTACAAATTGACCTAAGGGGGAAAAGCGGGCGAGACTGGGACTAGCAGGGGGCCCACTTTAGACCAGGGATGGGGAAGGCGTCTCGCGAGAAGGTGGCATCTGAGCTGAGTCCAGGAGGAGGAGACAGAGTCGGCCTTGGGTGTAGCCAGGGGATGGCGTGTCTGGCAGATGGAACCACAAGGGCCAAGGCCCTGAGGTGGGAAAGGCTCAGGTTGGAGGAACAGAGGAGGGCGGGTGTGGCTGGATCTGCTGGGTGAGAAGCTGGCGTCCTTGTGCCCGGTAGAGGACCCCTCACATCCACGGCTGCAGGGAGGGGCCGTCCCGCAAGAAGCAGGCAGGAGGCTCCCCTGGCAGATCCCAGGGCCAGGCAGGCTTCTGCGCACCTGCGCCCTCTGGTGGTTGTAAGGGTGGCCGCTTCCCCGACTCCTCGGGCTCTAAGGCAGCTCAGGTCCCCAGCTGCAAGCAGAGGTCCTCACGCTCCAGGGGACAGCAGAACGGCTGGAGGCATAAAATGTGAATTCCTGCATGTGACTCAGGAGGGTCTGGGGCGGGCGGTTTAGTCCGTTCTTTGAGAATCACTCTTTTTAGGAAGGGGATTAATTATGAAACTGAGGATGAAGGAGGTAACATTTCCCTGGATTAGGGTGAAACTGTGCCATGTACCCAAAGGTGAATGCGGGAAACAAAATAACCTAAGTTTCTGAGCTCACCTTGCAGAACAGCAGGGGCATGGCTAAGAGAGGAGCTTGCTGACAGCCCCCTGCCTGACTAAACATCTTGCAGGAACATTGAGAAGCTACGATGACTGATTGTGAACTTTAGATGCCAAAGGCTGAAAATCCACCACATGCAACACATGGAACAGATAGGCAGCCTGTGCAGTTGACTCAGAACTTCAGTCCCCAGGGCCGCTTGCTCCCTGTCCCCTACCTAATAAAAGCCCTTGCAGATAGCTTTTCAGGGGAGTTTGGGATTACAGTGTTAGCTGTGTGTTCTCCTAGCTCAGCACTTTGCAATAAAATTCCTGCTTTCTTCCACTACACCTGGTGTCAGAGATTGGCTTGCTGCGTGACGGGCGAGTGAACTCACTTCAGGTTCGATATGAATTATTCATTTATCCCATTCTTTGTAGAAATATGTATTTCTAACAAACATGGAAGACTGAAGATGGAACTTAAACCCAAAGCCAAATTTCCCTATAAACAGGAGTGGGGTGAATTTGGAGGCAGTTCTTTCCTGAATGGAATATCAGGTTTCACAAAGGATGATGACATACCTCTTCTGGGTTCTGCAGTGGCATGGAGAGGGGGAAGGGAAAGTGGAAAAGCTAGAGTTTCTGTGGCCATCGCAGTATTTTGGTGGGGGGGGCGGGGACGGGGATAGGTGGTGCTTGTAAAAATACAGATTCCTGGGCCACCCCTGAGTAATTGAGTTAGAGTCCCTGGAGGTGGGACCTTGGAATCAGATTCTGGGGAATTTGGCTGCACGTGGTATGTGATGACCACTTAGCTGAAATAAGAAGGATGGTATCAGCTAATGTTTGTTGGGCACTGACTGTTCCAAGGGGCAGTCTAAGTGCTTTACTGTAATCTCTTATTTAACCCTCCATACAGCCCTTTGAGGTAGGTACTGTTATTATTGGCCTCCCTTTGCAGAGGCACAGAGAGATTGAGTAAAATCACCCAGCTGGGGCAGAGTGGGGCTGGAGCAGGAGCCAGGGAGCCAGACACACAGGAGGGAGATCAGAGGAGCTGTCACTCCTTCTCCACCAACTTCCCCATCCCACACCTTTCTCCAAAGTCTGACCCTGCAGAGGTGTTCTCAGGAGGAAAGGAGGAAGGCAGTGATACCAGCCCTGATATCAGTTTCCCTACATTGAACCCAGAGTATATGGAGTTAAAACCAAAGCACTTATTCCCTGCTTACTCCCTGGCTTCCTGGCTTCAGTATCCACTATCCACCATGGAGACAAATGGCCAACGACAGCCACCTGGATACGTTATCTCCTCCTCTCTGCAAGTAGTCTCAAGGCCTAACAGGCTGCTGGAAAAGCTTTGACCAGCAAGGCCATGTGCTCATGCTCCGTTACCTAAAACCCCAAATAAAAACCATTACTTTTAGCTTTTTGGGGAGTTTGAGGTTTCAGCGTTATCTCCCCTTTCTTCTTGCTCAGCACTGTGCAATAAGAAAATTCCTACTTTCCTCCACTACACCTGGTGTCAGAGATTGGCTTGCTGTGCAACAGGTGAGCAAACTCACTTCAGGTTCGATATCAATTTGGGAACCCAGATGGGACATTGTCCCAAGGGGACATCTCGCCTGTGGCACACCGGCCTCTGGCTAAAGGCCTCTCTTGGAAGCTGCCCTGCAGCTGCCTGAGCTCCTTGTCTCAGGGGCAGCCCCAAGTAATGGGCTGCTAACCAGACGTTGTTGGCACATGGTGCTTTTGCTTTGGTGGTACAAGAAACTATGTTCAGGAATTAGGAAGGCCTCTCTTGTAAGTAGCTTGCAGTTTTTGTTTTTGTCTTTGTGCTAACCTTTTCCAAGAGGACTGGTCGGAAATAATGGGTACCTGGCAGCCCTCTGGGCTCAGTTTGTTTTGAAGTCACGACACCCTGGCCAGGTGTTGGTAAGTCCCCTGGTGTGCACACCAAGGTCCCTTGTCCTTGCTCATTTGGGAAGATCTGCATAGTGGATCTTCATTTGTTGGGCGCCCACTGAGTGTAGGACACGGACTGAGCTGGGACTGGAAGCACTTTGGTTTCTGGTTTGGGTTTGGGTTTTGGTCTTTGTTTTCACTTCTGTTTGTGGCCAAGGGTTTTTGGGAAATCACACTTATTTGGTATTTGTTGTTGTTTGTCTGTTTGTCTGTCCTTTTAAAGGTGTTAACATGGGAGGTGCTGCATCTAGTCCACCTAAGAGCCCCTTGGGAAACACTCTGGCTGATTGGTCAACCTATAGATATAAGCCAATGTCTGAAGAGGGATGATTTTCTCTAGTAACACAACGTGGCCACAATATTCTTTAAATTCCACAGAGAAAATGGCCAGACAATGGATCCTTAAGCTGGGCAAATTTTTAGAGGACTCTCGTCATGAACCGCTGTTTTATTGGTATTGAAAAGACCAAATTAAAAGGAAACTATAAAGACTAGTTTTAAGAACTTAATCAAACTTGGGGTCTCAGCTTCTTCTCATGGTCTTACAGATGCTAATGAAAACATTAAGTTAACAAAGAGAAGTTAAAAATGGAAGAGTCACAGGACTCATTCCCAACAGGATGAAATCTTTAGCTAGATATTAAAAGGAAAGTGGGGTAAACAGAACAGACATGAATAAAGTTAAAACAAAGGTTTTAATAAAACGCTGCCTAAGGTTGGATGGGCTAAAGGGACGCCTCTATTACACGCCCCCCCCCAGCATTAAAGGACATCAGACAAACCTGTTCTATTCGCCCCAGTTTGAAAAAATTTTAAAAGATCAGAAGGCAGAAATCAGAGTGAGAAACTTGACCAAGAATTGTTTGAGGCAGCAGTCAGGCTGTTAAGGTTGGTAAAACTATACAAATTAAAAGTGTTTAAACTAACATTATATAAAGAGGTTATATCAACTTTGCCAGAGTTTTCTTTTGGGCATAGATGTTATGTCTAACTGGGAAGGCTTTCCCTACATAATATTGTGATTCCAAAACTTGTTAATGGAGTTCTAATATAAGTTATAATTGATGCGGGGTCGGTGAGCTGAGGAGTCGAAAGAAAGATTTCTTAGACTCTTAAGATCTGGCAGTAGTGCTCTTTTATTTAGAGAATAGTATAGAATAGCATGGGGACAGGACCCATGGGCAGTCAGAGCTTCTGCTGCCGCTGCTTCTGCTGCCCCCGCTGGCATGGGGACAGGACCCATGGGCAGGCAGAGCTGGTGCGTGGGGTCAGGACCCACGGGCAGTCAGAGGTTCTGCTGCCGCCCAGAGTTGAGGGTTAGGGCTAAATTTAAGGCATGGGTATGTGAGTCATCTCTTTACAAGACAAAGGAAAAAAAGTTAAAATGGTACCAGTGCCGGTAGGGTCCGGCCATTGGGCGGACCCACAACTTTTAGATAAGAATCAAACCGGATTGAGTAAATGGCAGAAGTCACCGCTCAAATATTATCTTCAACTAAAGACAAAGGAGGATTTTGGGGTGGGGGGTCAGTTACATGAGGTTGCCAGACAGTAAACAACTTAAGTTCTTGCCTTCCCCATTAAGAGTTTCCAGAGATAAGGCCATCCCCCCTTCCTCCTGGCGCAGAGAGGGAGGCATGGAGATTTCCTTCACAAATGCAATTGTCTCTGATCAAAGGGCAAGCAAATTCCACTCCTCGGAGCCTGGTTCTCATCTGCAGTTTTAAAATTAACCAGCCTAAAAATCCTCGTCATAAACCGTGTTTTAAAATTAAGCAGCCTAAAAATCCTCATCAATAATTAGGGGTATAAGAGTTGAATAATTAAGATAAAAGTTTGTAAAAATTGATTGACTTAAATGGGGCAGTTTCAGTTTACCCAAACTGGTGTATTTACATGTGTAATTGGAAAAAGCCAGGTACAACAGCAGGAAGCCTATTTTAACCTTTTGAGGCTTCTAA